TTTTTCCATAAAGACAGCATCTCACTTTGTCACACAGGCTGATGTGTAGTGGCTCATAGTTCACAGGAGCCTCAAACAATTGGGTAAGTGATCCTACTGCCTCAACCTTCCAAGTAGCTAGGACTACAGGCCTGTGACATGCACAGCCGATTTTATTTTTATTGTTTGCAGAGACAGGGTCTTACTAGCTTACTTTGCCCAAGCTAGTCTGGAAGTCCAGGCCTCACATGATCCTTTATCAATCTTTGATTTTATTGCCTCTGGAATTCAGAGCCCTTACTTAGCCATACTTTCCTTACACTTAGGTGATATAAGAATTTATCCAGGTTTTCTTAGTATTTGTATGGTTTTGTTTTTGACATTTAGATGACTGCTCCATTAGAAGATGATGAAGATGACTCATATGTATGGTATTCTAACTTTTTTCCAACAGCTATATAATTGTCCCCATGCTATTTACTTAAAATTTATCTTCCAAACCTCTGCTTTTAGCCATGAAAGAATAAACTGAACAAAATATATAAAACAACTATTTTCAGATATTGAAACAACAGACTGCAGGAGTGTGACACCTGAAAGAAAGGAACAAAACAAAGTGAACCCTACATTCACCTAGGTTTCTAACTAGAGACAATTTGCAAACCATGTAGCAGAGAAGAGAATTCAAGAAGAGAATGGCTGTTTCACTGAGTTGAGGAGGCTGCGCAGGTTGGGGCAGCTGGCATTTGTGAGGTAGAGATACACAGCAAAAGAACTCCAGAAATCTACATAGGGCTGCCTTCACTGCACATGTGTTGGATGAACTTTAACAAGGCCTATCACTATGAAGAACACCTAGAGCAACTAGAAGCTGAAAAACGCTGAGAGCTCACACAGGGCTGGGAGTCAATGGAGCTCTTATAAGCCAAAGTAGAGATCTCATTGAACATTCAAGTCAATTAGTATAGAATCCAGAAGAATTATATAAACAATTGGGCTACACTAACCCTAGAGTAAAGGCTATGCCAGGTATGCCCTAAATATACGTAAAAACACGAACTGCCTGCTGATACAAAAGATAAAATCCAAGTCATCAACCATGGTCAGCCTCAAACAAAAAGCCAGTAAACATGTTTTTTGTAGAAACTGACAAGCTGATTCTAAAATTAATATGGTAATGAAAGTACCTAGAATAGCCAAAACAACACTGAAAAGGAACAAAATTGGAGGATTTACACTACATGACTGAGACTTACTACAAGGCAACAGTAATTAAGACAGCATGGCACTGATGTTAAGAATAGACATAGAAATCAGTGTAACAGACGAGAGAGCCCAGAAATAGACCCACTCACATATGGTCAACTGATTTTTGACAAAGGGACCATGGTAAATCAGTGAAGATAGAACAGTCTCTTGAACATATGGTGTTGAGACAACTGGCTACCCACAGGCAAAGAACATCAGCTTCAACTCACACATCACACCATACACAAAATTAACTTGAAATCTCAGATAAGAATACAAAACTATGAAAAGAAAAAAATGAAAACAAATTAGCTTAAAATGAATCATAGACCTAAATGTAAAGCTACTATCACAGAACTAAAAGAAAACACAAGAGTATCTTTGTGACCACAGAATACACAGATTGTTAAGATACTACAAGTACAAACCGTGAAAGAAAAAAATGACTTTATCAAACTAGAAGCTACTCTTCGAAACACATCCCGCAGGGAAAAAAAAAAGCCTTCACAATACACTTATCAAAGGACCTGTATGCCAAATAATAAAAAGAATGCTTATAACCCAGTCAAAAAGCAAACAACCCAATTTTAAAATATGGGCAAAAGATTGTATACGAATGGCCAATAAGCACATGAAAAGATGCTCAAAATCATTAGTCATCAGGGAAATACAATTTAAACCAGAAGGAGATACTACTACATATCCACACAATAGCTAAAGTTAAAAGGTTTATAATATTAAGTGCTGGTGATGGAGAGTGGTAGGAATGTAAAGTAGTATAAAATGGAAAACAGTTTGGCAGGCTTTTATGAGGTTAAATATACACTTACCACATGACCTAGTCATTCCATTCCTAGGTATTTACCCAAGAGAAATAAAAAAATTTCCACACAAAGACTTGTACATGATAGTTGGGCACAGTGGCTCATGTCTATAATCCCAGCACTTCGGGAGGCCGTGGCAAGTGATCACCTGAGATCAGGAGTTTGAGACCAGCCTGACCAACATAGTGAAACCCATCTCTACTAAATATACAAAAATGAGCTGGACATGGTGACATACGCCTGTAATCCCAGCTACTTGGGAGGGTGAGGCAGGTGAACTGTTTGAATCCAGGAGGCAGAGGTTGCAGTGAGCTGAGATTGCACCACTGCACTCCAGCCTGGGCGACAGAGCAAGATACTGTCTCAAAAATAACAGACTTGTGAATGAATGTTGATAGCAGCTTTACCCAAAATAGCACGGCTGAAAACTATTTGCCTAAATAACCACCAACAGGTAAATAAACTGTGGCATATCCATACAATGAAACACTACTCAGAAATAAAAACATATGACAGAGCAAAATATAAGACTATACAATGTAGTGTACATTTCTAGCAAATTCTAGAACTGTGAAACTCATCTACATCAACAAAAAGTAGTATAGTGATTCCCTGGGCAAGAAGTGAGGGTGGGGGACTCACTGTGAAGGGGCACAGGAAACTCTCTGATAGAAATTTTTTAGATCTTGACTGTGATGGTGGTTGCGTGGGTGTCCATATTTTACGAAACTCATCAAACTGCATACTTAAAATCGATGCATTTCCTTATATGTAAATCACATCTCAATAGAGTTAGTTTTTTAAGTCCATCTTTAGTTCCAGTAATTTGAGAAGCCACCTTTACTATAAGAAATCCATTTGAAAGAAAAAAATGTTTAAATTGATTTCAATTTAAAAATAGTCATGGACCAAAAAGCAATATACAAATATAAACATAAAGCAAAGATTACTTAAAAGCAAGGATTGAAAAACTCTGGCCCTTAATCTGATTAACCTAGGAAATAAATATGAAGATGTAACATCCTTATTTATGTCGTCTAGCATTACAAAAAGCACAACATACATTTAAATGGCTGTATTGGCAAAATGCTCAATATCAAGAATGAAATGTTATTCCACAGAGTCTCTTTCTCTCCACTGGGCCTCTCTTGCCAGACCCTCTCTCCTTTGCTGTCTCTGACTATAAACAAACTGACCATAGACAAACTGAAATATTCTACTTTAACACAAATAATTAGTTCCTGTTTTTTAAACAGTGAACACTTTATATAGTTGTTACTTTAAAAACTGAAACATTATGTTTTATTTATATGGTCTGGTTCATTTTGATCTATATGTATAGTGAAAACAGACCAAAGTATATTGTCATCAACAATATGATTTGAATCAGTAAAAATATCTGACTTCACATTTTATAAGTACTACTTATCACCTTACTTTTGGTCTATAAATTTTATTCATTTAAGGGATACTATTATAATTTGATATATCTACAGTTTATGGGTATCATTAGAAAAAGAACATCATATAACGCTAAAGAAAAAACAAATGCTTTTTATGACAACTGTGTCATATATCAAATATATAAAGAAAAGCTAAATATTCAACAACTATGAAACTATCAGCTTGATTCAATGCATTCCTAATATGGGCTCCTTTCCTATTTTGGTTTTAAACATGTAATTTTACTTCCATTCCACTAACAACTAAACACATCAGATTAAGCCAATCATAAATTTAGTTAATGTCTAATTATGTAACATGTTTTTATTCCCATTAAACACAGAATGGTAGCCATCAAAGAGCAGATAATCTTAGAATAATTCCATTATATCAGAAGAGTCAGAGCTGAATATAATTCTTCTAGTGCCCTATAATTAGGAAAGACAAAGCATTTTATTGTAAGAAGACAGATTCCAACCTTTACATACCAGTTCAGAAGTACTCTAACAAACTACCATGCTTGATGTTTACTAATCATAAAAGGAGGTACTTTGTTGGTGGGTAGTAAATCACACACATCAAGCGCTAATCTTTACTAAACTCAGACTCCTTACTAAGACATTATCATTCCCTTTTATTAATGGAGATAACATTTTACATCAGTGTGTTATACCTAAGTTTCATTTTGGCTTTACAGGTTGTTTTTCTGAACTCTTACATTTTTGTGACATTCCTTAAGCAAGTTAATCAAGATGTTGCATTCTTCAGTGTGCAAGTGTGGAGATAAGTCAGGATGCATCTTTAGGAGATGATGACGGATCACAGCAGTGCAACCTGTGGATACAAGAGTGTCTTGAATATGCATAAATATACCTGTTATGCCACCTAAAAGTATCTTCAGTGAGAACCTTCAGTGACCTTTATCAGAGAAGTCTGTTAACCATTAACCAGCTGTGTGACCTCAGGCAAATTATTAAACTTGAGCCAAAGCTTTCTTATTCAATGATTTCACATATTGAACAAGTTATCAGTAGTGTTTAGAGAACCTGCAGGTTCAGGAGAAAAGCAGGAAGCCTAAAGAGACCCAATCCTGCAAATAAGTGCCAAAGCAGAAACAGCTCGCTTATAAGCAATAAGCCTGGCTTCACATATTTTCACCACAATCTCAAAACTGATTACATCTCATTCTGTTCAGAAGAAATTCTACCAATTAAGAGAAGTGGCTTATTATTTTTAAATTATATTATTCTGAGAGTTAAAAGGCCATTAGTCTCATATTGGTGTGAATTAATATAGATTACTTTCCTCATAATAGCTGGCTGAAAAAAAAAAACTAAACAATGAAATGAAACAAGAAGTTGTGAGAAAAAAAAGTTCAAATTTAACAGACATAGTCGTAACTAATTACTACACTGAAAACATGAAGCTGAAATCCCTGAAATTATGCTTAGGCTGTTCATTTACAAAGTGGAAAATTAGCAGCCAAGGTCAGAGGAAAAACATTATAGGCAGTGTTTTTTTTCATGTGTGTGTGTGTGTGGTTTTTTGTTTTTTTTTTTTTTTTTTTTTTTTGGTAGAATCAGGGGTCTTGCTATGTTGCCCAGGCTGTTTTCAAACTCCTGGCCTCAAGTGATCCTCAGCCTCCCAAAATGTTGTGATAGACACGCGCTACAGCACCCAGCCTGCGCTTAAGCTATTCTAACTCAGAAATGATTACCAAAAGAAAGAAACAATTAGTTCCTTTAATTTGTTAAAAGTTTCAAATAGAAAACAGGAACCAACTCACATCCTTTAGGATGGCTACTACCAAAAAATCCCAGAAAATAACAAGTGCTCAAGAGGATGAGGAGAAACTGAAACTCTTGTGCACTGCTGATGGGCATGTAAACTGGGATAGCTACTGTGGAAATTGGTATAGCACTTCCTCAAAATACTAAAAATGAAATTACCATATGATTCAGCAATTCTACTTCTGGCTATAGACTCAGGAGAATTAAAAGTAGGGTTTTGAAGAGAGATATTTGAACACCCATGTTCACAGTATATTACTCACAATAATTAAAACATGGAAGCAACCCAAGAGCCCAACAGACCAACAGATCAGCACCAAGTGATATATACGTGCAATGGAATACTATTCAGCCTTAAAAATGGAAGGAAATTCTGACATATGCTACAACATGGATGAACTGTGAGGACATGCTGAGTGAAATAAGCCAGTCAAAAAACATACATATAGGGTTTAACATACACAAATCAATAAATATGATTCACCATACAAACAGAATTAAACACAAAAACCACGTGACTATCTCAACAGATGCAGAAACGCCTTTGATAAAATTCAACATCACTTCATGGTAAAAACTCTCAACAAACTAGGCATTGAAGAGCATAACTCAAAATAAGAGGAGCCATCTATGACAAACTCACAGACAATGTTAACACTGAACAGGCAAAACATGGAAGCATTTCCCCTGAGGACCGGAACAAGGGAACAGGATGCCCACTCTCACCACTGTTATTCAACACAGTACTGGAAGTCCTAGGTAAAGCAATCAGCCAAGAGAAGTAAAAGGCATCCAAATTAAAAAAAGAAGTCAAACTGTCTCTCTTCACTGTCGATATGATTCTGTACTCAGAAAACTCTAAAGACTCTCCCAGATAACTTAAGTTTCAGGATACAAGGTCAACACAGAAAAATCAGCAGCATGTCTGTATACCCAATAACGTTCAACCTGAGAGCTAAACCAAGAATGCAATCCCATTTTCAACTGCCACCAAAAAAATAAAATATCTTGGAATACATCTAACCAAGGAGGTAAAAAATCTCTACAGGAAGAACTACACAACACTGCTGAAAGAAATCATAGATGACACAAACAAATGGAAAAACATTCCATGAGACACAAACACATGGAAAAATATTCCATGCTCATGGATTGGAAGAATCAGTATCATTAAAATGGCCATACTGCCCAAAGCAATCTACAGATTCAACACTATTCCTATCAAACTACTAACGTCATTTTTTCACAAGACTTGAAAAAAAAAACACTCTAAAATTCATATGGAACCAAAAAGGGGATCAAATACCCAAACCAATCCTAGGCAAAAATAACAAAGACCAAAGGTATCATATTACCCTAATTTAAACTATAAGGCTACAATAACCAAATCAGCATGCTTCTCCTACAAAAATACACACATGGACCAATGGAACAGATTAGAGAGCCCAGAAATAAAGCTGCACAGCTTTTGATCTTTCACAAAGTCGACAAAAATAAGCAATGGCAAAAGGACTTCCCATTCAATAAATGGTGCTGGAATAGTTGGCTAGCTATACGCAGAAGAATAAAAGTAGACCCTTACATTTCATCATACATAAAAATTAACTCAAGATAGATTAAAGATTTACATAGAATGCCTCAAACTATAAGAATCCTAGAAGAAAACCCAGGAAACACCATTCTGGACATTCATCTTAGGAAAAAATTAAGACTAAGTACTCAAAAGCAATTACAACAAAAACTACCTAATTAAACTCAAGAGCTCAGAATTGCAAAAGAAGCTATCAACAGAGAAAAGAGAAAACCTACAGAATGGGAGAAAATATCACAAACTATGCATCCAACAAAGATCTAATATCCATAATCTATAAGGAAATTAATTCAACAAGTAAAAAATAAATAACCCCATTAAAAAGTGAGCAAAAGACATGAACAGTCACTTCTCAAAAGACGACATATGAGTGGCCAACAAACAAAAAAAATTCTCAACATCATTAATCGTCAGAAAAATGCAAATCAAAACCACAATGAGATACCACCTCACACCAGTCAGAATGGCTATTACTTAAAAAGTCAAAAAAACACAGATGCTGAGGGAGGCTGTGAGAAAAAAGAATGCTTATACACTGCTGTGGGAATGTCGATTAGTCCATCCACTGTGGAAAACAGTCTGGAGATTTCTCGAAGAACTTAAAACAGCTGTCACTTGATCCAGCAATCCCATTATTGGGTATATAGCCAAAAGAAAATAAACCGTTCTACAAAAAGAGACACAAGCACTCATATGTTCCTTGTAGCTCTACTCACAACAGCAAAGACTCAACCTAAGTGTCTATCAGTAGTGGACTGGATAAAGAAAAAGTGGTACATATATACCATGGAATAGGCCATTATCCTAAGTGAATTAATGCAGCAACAGAAAGCCAAATACGGCATATTCTAACTTAAACGTGATAGCTAAACACTGGATACTCATAGAGATGAAGATGGCAACAACAGACACTGGGAATAGAGGGTAGAAGGAGGGTAAAGAATGAAAAACCGTTAGATACTATGCTCACTACCTGCATGATAGGATTAATCATACCCCAAACTTCGGCATCACCCGATAGGCCTATGTGACAAACCTGCATATTAATTACCCCCAAAATCTAAAATAATAATTGATATATTTTTTAAAAGGCAAACAGTGTAACATTCCTCTTATATGAGGCACCTAAAGTAGTCAAAGTCAAAGAGACACAAAGTAGAATGGTGGTTACCAGGGGGAAGTGGAAGGGCAGGAGGAGAAGAATGGGGAGTTATTGTTTAATGGGTAGAAAGTTTTACAAGACAAAGAGTGTTATGGAGATGGGTGGTGATGATGGCTGGCAACATTATTAATGTATTTGATACCAATGAACTGTGTATTTAAATGGTTAAGATGGTAAATTTTATGTCATATGTGTTTCACTGTATGAATTTTATGGTATATAAATTATACTTCAAGCTGTCAAAAAAAAATCTGAGAAATTTTGCCCTTCTCCTCCCTAAAATACATTACCACCTTTAAATGACCATTGCCCAACCTATAAAGCCAACTGTTAACCCACTGCACCCTGCTGATTCTCTTTTCAGACTCAGCCCACCTGCACAAGGGTGAATAAACAGCCATGTTGCTCACACAAACCCTGCCTGATGGTCTCTGGACATGCCTAACATTTGGTGCTGAAACCTGGGAGGCCGGCACGCCTATGAGAGACCAAACCCCCTCCCCTGCTCTCCTTGTGCTCCCTCGGTGAAGAGACCTACCTATGACCTAGATTCATCAGACTAGCCCACACATCCACTCACTATCCTCAGATCAGGTAAGCGGTTTGCCTCAACTCTTCTCTTTAGCCCTTCTCACTGCCTGTCAGCTTCCTTCTCCTTTCAGTTTCATTTTCCTCTTCCTTTCAGTGTAGACAAGAAAGACAGGACTTTCTGTGAGGTTCATGACCAGAAAAAAATCCCACATGGGTCACAGAACCGGGAAGACAGTGTTCCCTCAGTGACTGATCACCGCGGACAAGTCTGCTCTGGTCACTCACTCACAGGTGATGGATCAACACAAGGGATGCCCCCTTTGACTGATTCACCCCAGGTACAAACCAAGGTTTAGTCTGGGACGCCTGCTAAACTGCTTGGTTGCGCATTCACTTTCTTTGCCACCGCTGCTCTTCTTAAACTACTGTATGGGCAATCTCCTGCCCTCCATTCCTTCCTCCTCTCCTTTACCTGTGCTGTGAAAAACCTCAAACCTCTCCAGCTACCACCTGACCTAAAATCTAAGCATCTTATTTTCTTCTGCAATACAGCCAAGTATAAATTAGACAATGGCTCTAAATGGCCAGAAAATGGCACTTTCCATTTTTCTATTCTGCAAGATCTAGACAATATTTGTCAACAAATGGGCAAACGGTCTGAAATTCCCTATGTCCAGGCATTTTTTTTAACATTCCAATCCCTCCCTAATCTCTGCTCAATGCATCCCATCCCAAATTTTCCTCTCTCCCATTCGCTCCT